TGTTCTGTGGAGTAGAGTTCTCTTCACATCAGTGTTCTTAAACTCCTGGATGTTTGTTGGGCTTTGGAATATCTTCTTGCTCTTGCCAGGTGATTATGATACATTCTGACAATTTTACCGTGGTGACTTATATCAATCACCAGGTCCAGATCCCTGTGTTTTTGCACTATGGATCTCCTTTATTGGGCCACACACATCAAATTTGTTTGAAAGCATGCCATGTATCGGGTGCTTTCAATCTCACAGCTGATCATCTTTCCTGACCAGATCAGGTTTATCCCATGGATTGGTCCCTGAATCCTGCTGTTTTTTGGTGACTCGGTCTGCATCTGGGTACACCCCATATCAATGCCTTTGTCACCACCCTCAATCACAAATTACCTCAGGTTTAGTTCTCAAGTCTTGGCTGTTGATGCCTTTAGCTAGGATTGGTCGCATCTGTTTGTTTATTTTACACTCCCATCTGATTACTTCATCAGGTGGTCTCACTTATCCATGCCACTCCATGTGCAGTCCTTCTGATTGCTCCTTATTGGCCTGCTCAACCTTAGTTTTCTCCATTGCTCCAACTGTGGGGGTCCCTTCCTTTTCTCTTTCATCTCAACCTGCTCTGTCAACCCCAATCACCAGGATTTCATCCCGTGCCATCCATCCTCTGTCTTCATGTCTGGATTTCGTCAGTTCCTTGGCAAGGAGTTCCGGTTCCTCTCACATTCAGCCCGTTCCATTCACCTGTCTTCTTTGGCCGTCTATTAATGCAAATAGAGCATTTATTTCTTCCAGACATTGACTTGGAGTTTCTGGACTTCTCACCTAACAGTTGCTCTTTTGTTTTCTGGTCTCCTCAATTTTGGGGTTTCGGACAGCATTATCCCGTACACTTTTTTTTTTTCGTTTCCACAGGGTCTTTGCTTCCCCTGTTCCTTCCGGCTCTGTCAGCCATCAAGGCAACCATCCTTTCCTAACTGGGACATTAATGTGATTCTTCATGCCCTTACTTTACCTTTGATCAAACCTCTGTCTGTGTGGTCCCTGTTTCACCTTTCTTTGAAGGCGTATTTTCTCCTCCTTCTGTCCTGCAGGTGTCGTAGGTTGGATATTTTTGTCCTCAGTGTTACCAGAACCTTGTAACACTCTTCCTACCTTATCCTTTATCTGGATCGTGCCTTCCTAAGAAGACCTCTGTGGCATGAGAAGGTCAGTCCTCCTTTTCCCATATCTGCCTATCTTCTATATCTCATCTCTGCCCTCATCCTGATCTGGATAGATTTCTCTGTCTTGTTTGTGCCCTCCATTGTTATATTGCTCGCACTGTTTCCTTCTGGGGTTCTCGTTTACACCTTTTTATCCCTTTGTAACCTTCCTCTTCCTGTGATCTTTCCCCAGTTACTCTGACCAATTGGGTTTGATATTTGATCCAGTTGGCCTACTCCTCCTTGTCTCCTTCCCAGTGTGATCTCTTTCATGTTTCCTCACCTTACCTTGCCTCTCATCTTTGTTGGCCTTTGGAAGAGATTCTACAATCAAGCATGTGGATGACTCCACACATTCATCTCTCACTACCTACACCACATTGCTGTTTCTGCTTTCTCGGGGTTTTGCCTGCCACTTGTGGCATGGCTGTGACAAGAGGCAAGTCCTTATTAATGCTTTCTTTTTTTTTCAGGGGCCCCCTGCTTCAACTTCACTTTGGATCCCACTCTGTGGGGAGTGGTGCCTGACCAGGTACTCTGTCTGTACTCAGAATGGGTTCCACTCAGATGGCTATAACCATTTACAGACATCTTGCTATCAAATTAAGCCATGTTGATTCTTATACATTTTTCATGGCTACGTATGCTCACCCTTGAGATGGGGTGTTTCACAAGATCAGTAGAGTGTAAATTCCTCAGGATATGATAATTGCATCATAATATGCCGGTCTCGGAGCATACCACTAATGGACAAATCAGAAGAGTGTTGCAGTCCCTCTGGACTCTCCACCGCACTTTCCCCTCCTTTCTTTCAGTGGAGTTAGGGAGTCCTTACCACTTATCAGTTCCAAGCCACTGGGATGGTTGACCATGGAGGCAACCTGCTAGATGGGTTCCACAAATATGGCTATAATCATTCAGTTCAGAGTAGGGCAGTGGTGTTCTGCTGGTGTAGAGTGAGTTACAAGATCATGTGGATGAGTAACTAATTCTCAGAGTTGAAATGCCCAAATGCGGTTCACTCCTACAATTGGGGTTCTAAATAGGTTAGTTGTTCATTGTTTCTTTTCTTTTTAGCTCTGACAGTCACCTTATTATTTCTGTATATTTGTACTCTGGAGACAATGCAACCCACCACGTATCCGGTGTTGTCTCACAGGGAATACTTCTCTCCCAAAAGCTGCATTAAGTAGAAGATAACAGACACTGTTAAGAACATCTGTCCCTGCTCAGTGCACAATGTTTGGGTAAGATTTCCACATCTTCAGTAATGGTGAGGAGTCTCAACACATTGATGACCCTGGCAGTCGATAGGCCTAAAGCCCTAATGATCCAATATGGTCAATGGTCTAAAAATGCCTCCCACCCCCTAAAAAACTGGTAGCAAACATCTGCATATTGCCTTGATACTGGTGCACATAATAAAATCAGAGGGAACATTGGTCCAGACTTCTGGGACACCCTGTATATATATTTTCCTTCAGGCTAGGAATTAGAAAGGGAGGGGCAAAAATGCCTGCTGTTCCTGCTTGTAGTAACTTTCTACCAGTATGATATATATATATAGCAGTCATATCATTCTGCCAACCTCTGCAACACTTTGCCTCTTTTGATTGTACCTTTTCTGTATCATCTCTATTGGGCAAGGAATATTCCATGAGTTTTCAATTTCTGATACTGTATTACCAGGAAGGAGCTCTTCTTTTAATTCTTTTTTCTATACTGGTTCGTACATCATGTTATCAATGTGGGATTCTAGCTATTAGTTCTGTGGAGAGGTGAGTAGCATTTGTGAAGTCAACATTTATCTTATCTGAAAATATATGTCAGATAGATACTTCTTTTCAGAATCTCTCTCCTCCCCTTTGCCTTGTCAAGAATGAGCCTTTGGCATACACAATGTGATCAAAGGTTTACTGCATGTGGAGGATGTGTCACACTCCTGTTGATAGAGGGCTATAGTCTAATGCTGATTGCATTATAGATTGGTGCAGTACACATTGTTGGGGTGGGAGTTTCACTTAAGGCCTGGTGCATGTGCTAGAATATTTTTGACAGTAGTACAAGGTCATAGCTATCAGCTCTGTTGAGAGGTGAATTTCTATCTGAAATACAATTTCAGATAAGAAAAGTGTTAACTTCATCAGAATTTCAAAAACAGAATTATAGGCCTATAATTACCCGGACAATTTTTTATAACTCCCCTTGAAAAGAGAAGTAACATGTGCCAGCTTTCATTCTTCTGAGACTTGGATACTATTCAAGGTCTTACAAAAAATATCGTTATTTTCTTCAAGACCCTTGAATTTGTCCGTAACAAGCTCAGAATTAATGTTTTAATCTTGTTTTCATTTAGCAACTGTTCAGGGTGAATATTGCTTAAATCTTAATTAGTAAAAACTGAAGAAAAGATAGAATTTAGTAACCAGTCATCTTATAATTATCAGATATGAGCCTTCTATTATTATTCCTCAAAGGACTTGCATCATAACATCTTGTCTTCGTTACTTTTAATGTATTTAAAAAAATCCACATAGTTAATTTTTACAGTTTCAGCCAACCTTTTTTCAATTGCCTAATATCTTGTTTGAACAACTCTCACGATCTTCTATAATTCTCTTCTTATATCACATCAGTCATTTGAAAACTGTTATATTAATCTCTCCAATTTTATCCCTTATAATATTTGTCAGCCAATTTCATCTTTTATTTGCAACCACTATTTTTTCTATATGAATATTAAGGGAAGTGAGTGTTGATGTATCATCTTTTTTTCCCAGTTAGTTTAGTTCAGTGTATGAAACAGCAGACCCATTTTTGGCTTTAAATGTTAAGTCTTCTTATTTTTAGAATAAAGAAATCAGAGGACTTCATCCTGTTGATCCCTCAGATAATCTTAAAAACTTCAATAAGATCACTTCTTACCCTTCTTTTCTTAAGAGACAACATGGGACGTATTGGTCTGTCTCATCCTCTAAACTAAACTATTATTAAAAAAATTCTTAAAGCTAGCCTTTATCATTCATATACTTATCAAGCTTTCTCTTAAACTCGCCTAAGTTTACTTGTCTCTACAACATCCAAAGGACAACCACCCTGTTAGAAAAATATAATTGTCTTGGCTGAACATGACTCCTACCATGCCAGAACTTATATTCATGACCTTCTATTCTCACAGTTAAGAATGCATCAACACAATCAAATCACATCCCTTCTAACTCTTCCTTTTTTCAAGAGAAAACAATTTGAGATATTTCAACCTATCCATCCCAGGCATCATTCTAGTAACCCTGTTGACCACCTCTGAACCTTTTCCAGTAGGTTAATATTTTTTAGATTCCAAGAGAGTTTTTATGTAGTAATTTTTAATAAGACATAATTACATTCTTTTGACTAATCGATATGTCTATAGGTAAATTCTAAAATTCTAACTGTTTTACTAAAACAACAGGCCACTGCTGAGGTGGCTTGAGTGATCATCTACCACTACGCCAAGATTCAGTCACACCTGAGTTTGGTTCCAATCTGTATTAAATGTATGATCCAAATTATAATTTATGTCTATCTACTTACCACCAAGGTATTGATATTTTCCATTGAATGCTTTCTATTAGAAATATTGTTAATATGTTCTCTTATAAAATTATAAGAGAAGTTCAGACAACTTATAGAACCTTTTTAAAAACTACATTTTTTATGAATTGTGCAAATATAATTTTACAAGTAATTTAGCGTATTAATTGCTTGTTGATATAAAACTTTTCCGCTGATCTTAACTGTGTATGGTTTTTTACTTTCTTCCTACAGGATGGGTTTAGAGATGGAATGGAAGAAGGCCAGAAGAAGACGTTGCAAGATGGTTTTAATAATGGATATGAGCACGGATATGGAGTGATGTTTGCTATTTCTGAGTATCGGGGAATCTTACAGTATGTTGATTTTTTTTTCTTCATAATTGATTATATGATTTTTATACCTATCATTATTAAAATTTAAGAAGCCAACCCTGTAACTGTATTTTCCTTTAATTAATCAATTGATGATACAAGTTTCAGTTTGGAATAATTTCATTATAACTGTTTGAATCAGACCGTTGCTTGCCATTTCTAATACATCACTATTGAGACCAGAGAAAAGCTGCCCATAGTTTAAAACATAATCTTTCTATCCCAAGCTGAAATAATCCCTAAAATGCAAGTCTTTGACACTAGACCATCTTTTTCCTATTTGAATCCGAGCTAAGCTTCACATTTTGTGGAATTTGCAAGAAATTTCAAATCAGAATTTGTTTCCTATGTGGCAGGTCTTTTAAAATATCCTGATAGAAGCAAAACAACCTAAAACATTCAGTTTACCCTGCAGTCTGGTGTCTGTGATATCACGACTGTATCAGGTTAATGGTACGTGTGTGTGTCACAATACTGTGAGGTTAATGGTTTGTCTGTTATATGTGTATATCAAATGACTGCATCAGGCTAATGGTTTGTATGGTGTCTGTGTATATTACGGAACTACATCAGGATAATGTGTTTGTTTATGTATTACAGGAATACATCTGGCTAATGGCTTGTGTTGCTGCTGATGTTAGATTTTTGTGTGATAAAGAATGTTTTCATGACACTGATTGTTGACTTCAGCATAATAAAGAATTTCCATGTTACTGATGTTTGATTACTGCGTACCAGGTAATCTTTTTCTTCTACTGATGGTAGAATTCTATCTAATGTAGAGTTAATCCTTCAAAAATGTATCTCATTTCTTTGAGCGATAAAGAGC